ATGGCCTCCATGCGAGAGACAATGCTGAAGGTCTGGTGCATTTGACGCATCACCTCATAACCACAAGCAGCTTGTCCTTGACGCATCGACGTGCTTCTCACCAGTTCCATCCCACGTTCGAACTTCTGCAGACTTTGTTGCAGGTAGTAAAACAACCTTGCCGAACGCGATGCTACCGGAACTGCCATGTCAGACTGCTTGATCTCACGGTCATGCGTCATGGCCTGGCGCAACTCATTGACATAGTTGTCGTCTATCAACGCCAGCCAGGAAGCAAGCACCTCGCACCACCGATGGTACTCCTCCAGCTCTCTCACACGCCCTTTTCCCATCGACACATTATCGATGAGCGGCAATGCTGGCAGATACTTCTCTGCACGGTTACTTCCAACATGCAGGTTCTGTGATGGCGCCGGTGGAGGAGAAGAAGCCTTTGCCGTAGGACTTCCCGCAGCTGCTGCACTTGAAGCACCCCCAAATGGGTTGCTCACAGCTGCAGACAATGCTTCCTGCTCACGTCTTCTTCTCTCGTCGGCCTCCATCTTTGCCACCAAAACTTGAAGTGTCTGTTGCTGATTCTGCATCATCATTTGCTGACTCTGCATCATCTGGACCATCATCTGCTGGAGTTGAGGGTCAAGTCCGACGACCGTGGCGGGTCCTCCCGCTGGAGCAGAAGCTCCAGGGGTTGTGTTGGCGGTTGTTGCCCGTCCTGGGCACCACCGGGGCCAAACAAAGCTTCGTCGTCTTCGTCTTCAGGCACAGGGGTCGACAGCCCGGGGTCAGCCATGGCTTCTAGTTTCTACGAGCGTGCTACACACGCTCCGCTACCATGTGAAAACACAGCAGCAGCGCGCTGAACCCTCTTTTTCTCACGACTTGAGCCAAAGTCAAAAGCCGGAGGCTTCGTCAGTGAAACTCTTTACACACAGGTGAAAACTCTGCTCTGCCACGTGTTCTCCACAGCCACAAAACAAACTCAAACGTCAGTGGGAGTTCTCGGGACCTACCCAACTATACCTAAAGCAAGCAAAAACGTGCACAGTCACTTCTACAGCTTCCAGGCACTCAAAAGGCTTTCCCACTTAAAGCAGCACTCCCGTCGAGCCTCCAAGGCACAACTACGGAGTTCCTACAACTGCACACACATAACTCTGAGCCAGCATGCAGGACAACAAAGTTAACATGTCCTTAGACAGGAACTTTCACATGTTGCACTACATCCATCGAATTGACCACCCGTGTAAATACCAATGAAGGAGAAAGAACGTAATGAATGAGGAAATTTAATGTGTAATGAATGGAGTTTTGCTGCGGGCATAATAAGATAAAGAGCGCCCGCATAATCCATTGTAACATTTAATAAGGCTGCTACAATATGAAGAGAGAAGTGAACACTAGAACTCCTTCGTTTGCTTGGTTCATTGTTTTCTCTTTTCGAGGTTGGATTTTTATTGAGAGAAAAGGGAATTAAATTGTTATTGAGAGAAAAGGGAATTAAATTGTTGTATTATTTCACATTATTAGCCAAATGACCACAGAGTGGACAATTTCCGCGGTGGCGGTAGAAGTCTAAGCCGCAGGTTTGTGCAAGTGCAGACGTTCTTCAAGCAGATCACCATCTCCGACATGCAAGGCAAGCGGCTTGCTAAACACGATGTCAGAAACAAGACAAAACCGCAGAGTTAAATTGCGGATCAAAGCGCGCTGAAGAAGTTCTTCTCTGTTGATGAGTAACCTGTAGATTTTTAAACATGGTTGCCGTGGATTTATATCCGCTTTCTTATTGCTTGTGACCATCAACAACAGAAATCGGCCAGGTATCAGGTTCAGATGGAGACAGCTTCTTTACTGCATCATTCTCCCTTCTCGAACACAAGGAGAAAGCATTACGGAGGCTCCTTGCTCATCAAGGCGGAGATCGAAGCACTGACAAAAGTTGAAATTGCAAATGGAACAGATTCTAGCAATTCCATCCACCACCCAAAGTGCGAGAAAAACCGTGTAACACCAATCCAAGACTGCTTTATTCTGGATGCCAGCCAAAGATCCCAGAACATGTGTGTCACGGCTTTTTGTTGTTTTGGTGTTTCTGCAAACAGAATAAGAGTTTTTCCTGTCAGGTTCTCTTGCTCAGTTCTGGTCTAAGTCTTGCCAGTCTTCCTTTGAAAGGCGGCAAAGCGCGAAGAGTTAGAACTTTCTGGTGCTGTATGTGGTTCTTGCAAGCAGTGCCTGGACATTTGGAATGTAGCTGGCATGCTGCAACAACAATTGAAGTCCGGCGTGGCCAGTGGTAAGGCAACATTTCATTTTTATTTTGTTTTGTGCTGCGTTGTTTCTTGGTGTCTGGTGTAGCAAGGGGGAAAATATGCCCCTTGCAGATCACCTTATCTTGTGTTTGTATGCAATTACCGCACACACATGAAAAATCTCATTTCATCAAGACAGGCGCAGGTGAAAAGGTTGCATTCCACACAGTCACCAATGCATCAGTGTGTGTGGTGTGCAGCTGGATTGAAAGGTTTGGTTTTTCGTCAGCGGGAAATCATCTTCTTTCTTAGAAGTGGGCATACTTGTATGAGAGTGTTTTTGCAAACTTCTGGAATATGTCCAGATAATTGGTAGTTTTTTCCAGGCGATGGTGATTGGTGACTAGACACTGATGCGAAAGAGAAAAAGTGGCAGAGCTGCCTCTCTTTGCTTTCCTGCAGTAAGAGCGTGGTGTGGCGGCATCTTCTGCAGTCACTGGCTAGCAGAATGCTGTGCCATGCGGCCGTGAAAGGTAACTTCAAAACACACCCTAAAAGGCGTGTCTGGTACTTTTAGCCTGGAGTGCAGAGCGAAAAGTAGAGTCTGTTATGGAGCAACGGAATATGCATTCCTTTGTGGCGCTTGTGCAAGCATGTCTGCGGGTGCACCCGAGCGTGATCGAGAGTTCGAATTAGCAGGAGTTACTTCCCTCGAAAAGCTTCGCAGGGCGTGGCAAGCTGACGACGGGAAGTGGCTTTCTTTGCGAATGCGGAGGCAGTCCTTTTCTTCGTGTTCGGACAAAGCTTTGCCAGTCAAGCTGGGCGCAGGACTGCGGAAATTTTAGAAGGGCCTCGCAAGAGGAAGCGGAGCGACGTACCGCGGCCTCAAACTTCAGCAGGTGGATCGTCGCAGAAAGCACTGGATGCAGCGCAACCAGCAAATCGTGAGCACACAATGCAGCAGTACCAGCAGGATGTGTGGGCCAACAGTTCCAGGGCGTCGCAAGATGCGCGTCTGCGTACTCTGGAGTCTGTGGCTTCAGCGTGGACGATTAGCCTCACGCCAGTGACCAAGGATGTTGTGGACAAGATTGCCGCAGCCCTTAAGAGTGGAGGATAAAGGTCAGTGCGTCAATACTTCAGTCGCCTTCGTCGAGTTCACGTCGAGCGAACTCATTCTGAGCTATCCGTGGAAGCAGAGTTGGCGTTAAAGGATGCTGTTCGTTCCGTTGAGCGTGGCATGGGTGGGGCTGCGCTTAAGGATTCCTTCGAGTTGGAGAGCCTCTTTCACGACAGCGAGCGAGTTGGCACCTTGGCGCGAGCCATCGTCGTCATTGGAGCGTGGTTCTTGTTGCGTGAGATTGAGTTAAGTAGCCTTACGGCGTGGTCATCTGCTGTTGGACCGTGAAAAAGAACAAGTTTCGTTGACGTTGTGGGCTTCTAAGACTGACACTGTCGGGAACCTTGTGATGAGGACACACAAGTGTTGTTGTAGCGTGCTGTACGCTGGAGTTTGTCCGTACCATACTGCCCTCGCCCTCGTCGATGACTTCAAAGGCGACCATAGTGACCCGCTGTTTGCAAAGATTCCTGGCGAGGAGTTGTTGAAGAACGAGACGGTGGACATCATTAGGAAAGTACTCAGCGAGCATGGCGTGGCGTTGACCAGGCCAGGGTCAGATGGCGTCACCCATGTGCAACGCTTTGGTGGCCATGTGCTTCGAGTTGCTGGAGCGCAATTCCTGACGCGTTTGTTAGTGCCGCTTCCTACTATCATGCTCCTGGGTCGTTGGGGAAGTCGGGCCATCGAGCGCTATGTGCAGGAGGCCGCTCTAGATGGCTTTGAGATCCTTGTCAGCCGAGCTCGTTCAGGTGCTCAGGGCGACGACCGGCCAGCTGCAGCAGGCGAGAGCAGGCAGGAGGAGTTGCAAGAAAATGCTGCCGCAAACCTGCTTGCCATAGAGGAGTTGCGGAAGAAAGTGGAGACGTTGGCCTTGTCAGTGGAGAAGATGCAGGAGCGCCCGCAGTTCATCGTCGCAAAGAAAGCCCATCGCCGGGATGCTGACGAGGCGACAAAGCTTCCCCGGCAGTGGCGCGCGGTGGGGTGCGGCTGGAGCTACGGGACTGCAGAGTTCCGTCGAAGTGCAAGTCTTCAAGGCTTGGTGCAGTGCAAGAGGTGTTTTGCGATCGTGCCAGATCCTGAAACCACGGAATCTGAGAGCGAGTCAGAGTCCGGAAGTGCCAGCTCTTCCACTGATCAGGAGGAGAATTGACAATGCCCGTGGGCTGCTTGCGCTGGCCGTGCGAGGCAGTGCTGTGCGAAGGGTTGACCCGTGCCAGGGCAACCAGGCAAGGAGAGAAGAGTAGGCTGTGGTCGCGCAGACTGTCAGCTAGTGAAGACTTATTCGAAGACCAAGTTCGCGCGTGCTTGCGTGAGACCATCTTGAGCGTTGTGCGTCTCATTATTTGTCTTGTTTGCTGCGTGTTGATGTCGTAGGTAACTCAGCCAGCCGGCAGTTGAGAGCTGAAGGGGCTTGCGCGTGCCCGCCAGCGCTTGCAGTTGTTCGACTCGTAGTCTGAACCGTGACCAATTGATTTGCCTTTCCCTAATTTGTAATCGTGCTGAGCTTGAGCGATTAGGTGAAGTGCTTGTGCGTCCAATTCTTCGTTGTTGCTGTTATAGCTGACTGGGCCCACGTGCGTTTGTGTAGCTTCAGAAACCTCAGGAGCACTTTCGATTCACTGGTGGCCATGGCGTCCAAAAGCGAGGCTGAATTCGGCAAGTTAGCGGACGAGGCGGGTTTGCCAGCCAACATCAAGAAGTACTTCAAGGTCAGAGGGGTGAACTCCATAGCGCTTTTCGCAGCTCTGGCTGACAAGCCGGAGGAGCTCAACGAGGCCATCCTCGACCCGTTGCAGAAGGGCTTTGAAGTGGAAAGGGGCAACACCGTCAAGATCGAGCAACTGGACCTTCCCATCGTGCGGGCAAAGTTTAGGGTGCTCTGGCGCGAATGTGCGAAACGAGAGGGATTGGCCTCTCTGCCATCAACGGCGGCGGCCCCGGTGCCAGCTGCTACATCCTCGGCGGGATCATCCAAGAGTTCGAAAGAGCTACCCCCTGGTTGGTGGCAGATGAAGATCGCGGAATATGAATCAGTGGTCGTGGCAGGGGCTCACAGGAAGTTTCCGCAAGAAATGCTCCTGGGAGCAGAGTCGGTTCTGGCCCGCATGGTCAACGAGATGAAAACCTTGCAGCACACAGCGGTAGGCCTGCAGGAGTTCGTGCAGGCCCGCTTCTTCAACGCAGCTGGCGAGCCGAACCCTCTGAATTCAGCTAGAAAGAAGTCCAGGCAGGGACTTACTGTTCTCACAGTGAACGAGGAGAATCAGTTGGAGGCTGAGCCTGACGCGCCGTGGTACCCAAAGAGTTCACTTGCCTTCATTGATTGCTTAGAGTCCATTCGCTTTGCGTACTTGCTGGTAGGGATTGGCAAGGAGCAGGCCGTCGATGTCTACGTTGATTGGTGGATTCGGCAAGTGCGAAGTCGACAGCAGAAGTTGGACCAGCTGCGAGTGTATTGGGAAGTCACGTCGTGGAAAATTGCCATCGCACTGCGTACCAAGATACCGTTTGAGGATGTGACCTCCGACCTCATGAAAGACACTCAGGCGCTCCAGGATGCCATGGCGCGCGAGATCCCGATAGAAAAGATCACGAAGAAGTTCTACAGGACCAACGGCGAGAAGATCTTCGCCAAGACCCCCGAGATGAACGAGAAAGGGAAAGGAAAAGGGAAAGGCAAGGGCAAAGGGCGACGCTTCGACGACTATCGTTGGCAGCCGTACCAAAGCCAAGGCGCTTGGCAAGGCTCCTGGGGGAGCCCGTGGAAGCAGCCTGGATTTGGTGGCTATACCCAGTACGGCGCCTACTACCAGCAGCAGCCGAATGGCGGTGAGAGGTCGTGGCAGCAGCATTCGCACCAGCAGTCGCAGCAGCAGCAGTTCCAGAAGGAGTAGGGACAGCGCGGGCCATCTACGCCTGTGGGTGGACCCGAGTGTTGTGACAAGCCGGAAGGCATCATCTTGAAGCCCAATCCGCGGTGGTTGGCCGAGGAGGCCAAAGCTCAGCAGCTTCGGGAGCGCCCACGCTCGCGCTCGAGACAGCGCCGCCAGCAAAGGCCCGCGCGCGCTCAGTGCGATCTCATTTTGCTAAGCTTCTTCGATGGGGTCGGATCGGCGTTGATCATATGCGAGCGCATCTGTCAAGAGAAAGACTGGCAATGGCGTGCGTTAGTGTGGGAGACTGATGAGGACCTAGTGAAGCTCACTTCGGATCGTTTCTCGAACATCGAGCACCGGGGCGATTTCGACTGTGATAGCGTTGGAAAGGTCATCGAGACACTGGAACAACTGGATCCACGCCATGAAGCTAGGATTGTCATTGCAGGTGGGCCCCCGTGCCATGATAGCTCGCGAATTCGCCAGAATCCTCCTGGCCTTCAAGGAGAAGAAGGTTCCAAGGCCATGCGCTTTGCTGAGTTTGTGCGAGAGCTGGAAGCCACTTGGAATTATCCGCAAGCCATCCTTGTCGTGGAGAATGTGGTGCCGAAGAACAAGCAAGATGTGCGAGTGCTTGAGACCAAGTTGTCTGCGTCAGCGGTGGTCGCGGATGCGTCCGACCTAGGCGTCATTTCACGGCCTCGCCTCTGGTGGTCGAGAATCCCTTGGCAAGAATTTTCGAACCGGCGTGATCGTCCAGTGGATGTTCGTTGGTCAACGTATCAAGGTGTGCCGCGCGCGAGCTTCGTGCAGCCCAAGGACAACCTGGCCCTCTACGACCTCGGCGGCCTGCAATGGCCGAGCAATGTGACGAAGAAAGGCGAAACACTGCCATGTCTGACAACACCATCAGAAGATCCGTGTGGTCGGTCGGCTCCAAAGAGCTACAAAGGGAAAGCCGATTCCCAAACGCAAGCCAGATGGCTGAATGATGGACGTCAATACGCGCCGTGGCATTATGAAGAAGGGAATCTTTTCATCGTGCCGGAGACCAACGCGCTGGTGATGGCGCCCGCCGAAGTGAAGGAGCAACTGCAGCATCTGCCCAAGGGATGGACGGCGTCGCTCCCCGACAAGCAACGTCATCGTGCACTTGCCAATGGCTGGCACTTGGGCGTAGCCAAGTGGTTCTTCATTCTTGGATTGTTTGCGGCCGACCCTGTCACGAAGGTAGCTGCGTTGCCTTCGCCTTCGCGTGAACTTTCACCATTGGGATCCAGAGCTCTGGAGGGCATGGCGAGATTGTGGGAGTCGTCGCCGCTACTCAGTGGGCCCGGCGTACCGGTCCTGTGCGAGGCGTTGGACCTTTCGGCCATCGACGACATGAATGAACATTGGGCGGCGGCGGAGTTCGCTTTGCACTCAGATCAGACGCGACCTCTTCTAGAACCAGGCCTGGATCAGTGGCTGCCTTTATGGAAGCACTGGAAGCCCCACCTGGCGGAGATTAGGAAGGGCGTTGCGGCTGACGTGCGCACGTTAGTGGAGGAGATGCAGCCCGAGGTGGATGCGTGGTTCCAAAATTTGGAGCCGCATGTTAAATTGGCCTATGGCTCGAAAACAGGAACGTGCACGGTCAAAGTCCCCGTGATAGCCAAGATTGCCAAGATGTTCGGTTGGCAGGATGATTCTCTGTTCCAAGAGATGAGCAGTGGTTTTCCTCTCCTTGGTCACATCAATCCCGGTCTGGGATGGCGCCTTCGCCACGATGAGCGGTACAGCGACCCGGTTGACCTCGAAACGTTCCAAGCAGACAATTTCCAGTATGTGCAGAAGAAGCTCAAGCAGGCCAGGGTAGATCCATTCTGGCAAACCATGGCTGAGGAGATTGCAGCAGATGTCAAAGCAGGCAGGATGGAAGGTCCTTTCGCGGCGCCTTCCTCGTGGAGCAAGGAGACAGTGGCGTTGCCTGACTATACTCACACCGCTGAGCTTCTCCCGGCGCCGTCTTGCCACGAACACACATGCTTCGCTTTCTCTGTGCAACAGGTAGGGTCCGATGGGCGACGCAAAGTCCGGCGAGCAGAGGATTGGCGCCGTTCCGGGAGCAACAAAACCGTCAACGTGCCAGACACACCTGCGTACCATAGCATTGAAGCCTTCATTGCTGTCATACGAGCGCTTCGACACCTGGGAGAAGAAGGCGCCATAGCAACGTGGGGACTCGACCATGAGTCGGCGTATCGTCAACTTCCTGTGCTTCGACCAGCCGATACCTACGTGGTGCTGCAGACGCCGCGGGGCCCGACACTCTGGCGACATCGAGTCTTAATGTTTGGGTCGGTTGCCCGCGTCTGGGGCTACTGCCGTGTGGCGGATTGGATGGCCTGGGCCAGCCGCTGTCTTCTTCTCACACCAGCGTTGCACTTCGTGGATGATTTCGGAGCTCCAGAAACATGCCCAGAAGCAGACACCAGCTTTCAGTACGTGCAGACAGTGTGTTCCGATTTCGGGTTTCGCTTCAAGCAGTCCAAGGCACAGCCACCAGCTCAGAGACAGCAGCTACAAGGCGTTTCCCTCACTGTTCACAAGGACCATGTCGTCGTGGAGGCCACCAGAGACCGGGTAGCCCGCCTTGATAACCAGATCCTTGAGGCTTTGATGGAGGACAGATTGACGCCGACGCAGGCGGCAACCTTGGCCGGAAAGCTGCAGTTCGTGGCGCAGTCATTGTTTGGGCAGTCGAGCAAAGCTTCTCTTCGACCTCTACACCAACGAGCAGCTGCAGCGTACTATCGGTCTTCCCAAACCGGGTGGAGGTTGAGTCCCGGTCTTCGCAGCGCGTTGGAGTTCCTCCGCTTCGCCCTCGCCGTGCAAAAGCCGCGGAAAGTGCTCTTTAAGTCAGAGGACCGGGCCATCATCTACGCGGATGCCTTCTTCCAGCTCGACGGCAAAGTCGTGAAGATCGGGGACGCTGAAGATGTGCATTGGGGGCAGACGAACCCAGCAGCGTTTTGCAACGGCTTTGGCTTCGTTGTCAAGACCGGAGAGAGGGTTTGGTATGCCGCGGGCAGTGTGCCGTACTGGTTCCTAAGGCATTTTTGTTCCAGGAGAGCATACATCTTTGTCTTGGAGGCGATCGCTCAGATCTTGCCAGTCCTTGCCTTGCAGCAGTGGCTGCCGAAGCAGCTGCTTCTTTTCATGGACAACGAGCCTTCCCGACGAGCTCTGGTGCGTGGATACGGCAGAGATGACAGCGTCAACAAATTGATGCAAGTGGCCTGGCGCTTCTTCGAGGAGGAGGAGTTTCGGCCGGAATGGCAGCGTGTGACGTCCTCGGCGAACATCAGTGATAAGGTCAGCCGCTTCGACTTTGCTGACGCCGAGAACATGGGGTGGACATGGCTGCAGCATGATTGGGAAGCTGAACTTCTTCGTCTTCTGAATGCGGTGAAGGAGGGTCCCTTACGTGCAAAGGGATAGCTAGGTTTGGCGTTGGTTGGCGGTGGCTTGTAGGGCTTTTTGTTTTGGGCTTCAGGTGCGAAAACATGGTGGCAGTCGTCGCACCTTTGGTGCACGAGGCCAGCAGTCTATAAGAGGCTCTGTGTCCTCGCTTGCGCCGCCTGCCTGAAGCGCTGATTGTCCAACTCGATGCAAAAGAGCGTTCGTCTTGCCTTTTGCATAGTTTCCTGCGGAGTAGGAAGCATGTCTTGGAGTGCACGCGTGCACGTAATGACATGGAAGCGAACGGATCCGCAGCCATACGAAGGATCCGACAGGTGCCTCTTTTCGAAAGCCCACCCTCGCCACCCATTTGAAATCATTTGAACCATTTCAAATCTTGCTGAGAAAGAAGGGCGGGGTGCACGAGGCCAGCAGTCTATAAGAGGCTCTGTGTCCTCGCTTGCGCCGCCTGCCTGAAGCGCTGATTGTCCAACTCGATGCAAAAGAGCGTTCGTCTTGCCTTTTGCATAGTTTCCTGCGGAGTAGGAAGCATGTCATTCATGGCAGCTGGTAAGGCATGTCCCAAAATTTGGAAAACATTCCTCTCCCCTCTTAGTAGTTTTTGCGTGCCGAAGCCATGACTGGACTGGAAGGCCACTGGGCAGAGCCAAGCCACGGAAGCACAATGATTGCGCGGCTCTCAGATACATGTCGTCAAGACAGATTGCGAAGTGTGGGGGTTTCCGAAAATCGGAGTGCCCATTTTTTGGAGGTCCCTGTTAAGGGGCTATGCCAGTAAGAGTAAAAATGGAGTATCCCTATTTCGGGAAATGCCCCCACGTTTGTGTATTTGTGTGTGAAGACACGTGGGCTTTTGTGCTCTTGCTCCCAGTTAGCCTGCTTCAGGCGTCACGTGACCATGCGTGACCGCTGCCTCGTGCCACATGCCCTGTTGCTTGCGGTCGGCTTAAACCTGCCCAGTTGGGGAGAATGTGGACGCAGGGTCCAGTCGTCCAGATCTTGTCAAGCCACTCAGCTGCCCCCACGAAGTGGAAGCATTTCCTGGCGATGGATGCGGTCACTCCATTTCGGATCTCGTGATGCCATCAGCAGTATTGCAGCATCCATCCCCTCGGCAACCTTCTCTGAGCATGAGCGTGTCACTCGCCTTCGAGAATGTTGAGAGTCGTTTCCCTTGGAAATGTTCCCGAGCCTATGTATGCTGTCTTTGCGATAAGCAGACGCCTGGAGCTTGCCGGGGTTGGTGTCTCACGGCCCTCAGTCATTCCATTGCTGGTCTCGTGATGCCATCAGACACATGCAGCCGTCTTGGCATCTTCGCTCACGAAAAGCAGAGGCATGGAACTTGCATGCTGTTGTTGTTGGTGTCTCAGGGCCTTCAGTCTCTCCGTCCCATTTCAGATCTTGTGATGCCATTAGCCGCAGGCAGCCGTCTTGGTGGCTCTAGTGGAAACCTCGTTGCACGCAGGCTGCACGTGCGCTCTGCTTGCGCGTGCCCGTATCCCTCATGTTGTTGTGGCAAGTTCGACTGGGATGCCTAGGCCCTTTGCAGTTTTGGGTTCAGCATGACCTTGGTATGCTGTCTTTGCGATAACGAAAGGCCCAGAGGCGTGAAGCTTGCATGCTGTCGGGGTTGGTGTCTCATGGCCCTCAGTCACTCCATTTCCGGTTTCGCGATGCCGTCAACCACAGTCGTGGCATCGTCGCTAGCGAAAGGCAGAGGCATGGAGCTTGTGTGCTTTCGGGGTTGGTGTCTCAGGTCCTTCAGTTTCTCTGTCCCGTTTCGGATCTAGTGATGCCATCAACCACAGTGCAGCATCCATCCCCTCGGGCAACCTTCTGTGTGAGCACACCCCTCGCGTACGAGAACTTTGACTGTTGTTCCCCCTGGAAATGTTGCCGAGCATGTTCCTCATGTTGCTGTGGCCATGTCGACTGGGATGATCTCGTGTAGGTATGCTGTCTTCGCGATAACGAAAGGCAGAGGCGTGTAACTTGCGTGCTGTCGGAGTTGGTGTCTCATGGGCCTCATGTCTAGTCTCGTGATGCCATCAGCCACAAGCAGCCGTATTGGCATTTTCGCCAGCGAAAGGCAGAGGCGTGGAGCTTGCATGCTTTCAGGGTTGCTGTCTCAGGGCCTTCAGTCTCTCAGTCCCATTTCGGGTAGTCTCGTGATGCCCCTAGCCGCAGGCAGCCGTCTTGGCCTTTTTGTGCTTCTAGATGGGAGTTTACCAAAATAGGGTGGCCCCCAAATAGTAGGATTCCCTCATCATAAGGACCCCAATAAGGTACCCCCCTAATATCGTAAACCCCCAGATCTGTTGGGAAAGCTAATCTGCTTGTTCCAGCCACAGGCACGCTCCTAACACTGTCGGGGCTTCCTCTGAGGCTGATCTCCTGCCTGGAGCACTTGGCGTTGCTGCTCTGCGCTGGTTGAGCCTCTCCTCCATGTTCCGAGGAAGCGTTGATGCTGGGCGAGTTCTTGCCACTTGCTCGTCTGGCGACTCTGTTTGCAGACGCAATCCCCTCGTTCGCCAACTTCAGCCCTTGCGTTTTCTGGGCGCCAGAACATTCGACCTGATTGGGTCCTCCCCTCGCCTCGGCCTGCGTAGCGACTTTCCACGCATGATGCTCCGTGAATTGTCGCTGACGAGTTCGGACGCTTAATGACACTTTGTCAGGCTGTGGGCAGAGTGGCTCCCGTGGAAGACTCGTTGCACTCAGGCTGCCCATGTGCTCTGCTTGCGCATGCCCCTGTCCCTGATGTTGCTGTGGCCAGGTCGACTGGGATGCTCTCGTGTAGGTATGCTGTCTTTGCGATAACGAAAGGCAGAGGAGTGGAGCTTGCGTGCTGTCGGGGTTGGTGTCACCGCAGTGCAGCCAGCATCCATCCCCTCCCTCGTGAGCATATCACTCGCCTGTGCTTAATCAGAACAAGCAGTCTTGCTTCCGCTGGTGCTAGCAACGAAACCTTGTTAGCTAGGCAACAAGGTATGTGCGTCTTTCGCCGCAATGGGAGCTATGTCGACTCATGTTTCAGCGCATACGAGAATGTTGAGAGTTGTTACCGTTGGAAATCATGCCGAGCCAATCCCTCATGTTGCTGTGGCCATGTCAACTGGGATGACCTAGGTATGCTGTCTTCGCGATAACGAAAAGCAGAGGTGTGGAGCTTGTCTTCGTTGGTTTCTAGAGGTGTGGAGCTTGTGTGGTTTCGGGGTTGGTGTTTCACGGCTCTCAGTCTCTCTCTCTCTCTATCCCATTCCGGATCTCGTGATGCCATCAACCGCAGTGTAGCATCCATCTCCTCGGCAACCTTCCATGAGCATGACCTCGTGAGCATATCCCTCGCCTACGAGAATTTTGAGAGTTGTTACCCTTGGAAATGTTGCCGAGCCTGTCCCTCATGTTGCTGTGATGCCAGTTGACCTAGGCATGCTGTCTTTGCGGGTTGGTTTCTCACGGTCCTCAGTCATTCCATTTCTGGTCCCGTGATGCCATCAGCCACATGCAGCCATCTTGGCACCTTCGCCAGCGAAAAGCAGAGGAGTGAAGCTTGCATGCTGTCGGTGTCTCAGGTCGCTTCAGGTCGCTCAGTGTCTCCATCCCATTTCGGATCTCGTGATGCCATCAACCGCAGTGCAGCATCCATCCCCTGGGCAACCTTCCGTGAGCATGACCCCGTGAGCGCACCACTTGCTACGAGAACTTTGAGAGTTGTTACCCTTGGAAATGTTGCATGCTAGGTCGTCGCTAGGCAATCACACCACTGCGTTTGAAAGAAAGGAAGAGCCTGTCTCTGATGTTGCTGTGGCCATGTCAATTGCAAGCTGTCTTTGCGATAACGAAAGGCAGAGGAGTGGAGCTTGCATGCTTTCGAGGATGGTGTCTCACGGCCCTCAGTCATTCCGTTTCTGGGGTCTTCGTGATGCCACCAGACACATGCAGCTGTTTTGGCATCTTCGCCAGTGAAAGGCAGAGGCGTGGAGCTTGCGTGCATTCGGGGTTGGTGTCTCAGGGCCATCAGTCTCTCCATCCCATTTTTTCACATGCTTTTCTGGCGGCTCTGTTTAGAGACTCAATCCCCTCATTCGCCATGTCCGCCGATGTCTGCACTTGCGGTTTTGTGGGCTCAAGAACCACGACCCGATTACCTCCTTCATAAGTCGGCGAGCAAAGCCGTCACTCTGCGTGGCACCTATGTTAAATAGGTGGGCCACCTAGTGGCGTTCGGGCGGGGGACTCTTCACTTGCAGAGGGCGTAGCAAATTCCGCGTTCACTTTGGGCAACGCCTTTAAAGCTGTACGAGTCTCAGCAATAATGGGCTTGTAGTTTCTCCCCGAGCGCGCGTGCCTTTGCTGCCTGACACGTGCGCGAATCTTGTGTCGCAGCACCACTTCGCAGCAGAAAGGCGGTCTTGTCAGAATATGATGCACGTGGTCACTGCGAGTGGAATACCTGATTGCTGGTGTTGGGCTCGAAAGCAGTCTTCCCAGACCCTGTGCTGCATCGCTCGGTGTACCGCTAGGCTGGGGTTTCGGTCGCTCTGATCGCTGCGGACTGCAATGGCAACAGTCCCCGCATGTCCCCCCACCCACCTGCTGTTGTTGGGACTTCCGTTTCTGCTTCTTCCTGGCCACAGACAGAGTAGCACGCGCAAAGCTTCACATTCCTGACTGTTTCCCTTGAACCTGCGTCCCCTTGGGGTTTGACATTCAGTGTCACATGGGGTGCCTTGGGTAATGTCCCGTGCCAAAGCGGTGCCTTTTCACACGTGTGGTGCCTTAGCACGCCTCCCAAGTAGAGTGGTCGCCCCCCCCTCGAAACCACACTTACCGAAATAGGTGGCTGCCTGACTCGAGGGAGCCCTCACGCCCACAATCGCCCACACCTGAGTAGCCGCATGATGCTCCGCAGTGCCTTCCGCATTGTTGCTGGCGAGTTCCTAAGCTCAGGGACACTTGGCCAGGCTGCTGTGGGCAGAGTGGCTCCCATGGAAGACTCGTTGCGCACATGCCTGCCTCGTAAGTAGGCGAGCATGTGTTTCACGATCCAAGTGTCAGGGGTGGTATAAGCTTCAGCTCCCTCAGTAGGTCACAGCCTGTGAGCGCCTGGGCGTACACAAGCTGCTCCAAATAAATTGAAGAAATTGATATGTTCAGCCCATGAGCTGGGAGAAGCTCCGCCTGAGTAGCGACGTTCCACGCATGATGCTCAGCGGTGGCTTCCGCGTTGACGCCGACGAGTTCAGAAGCTTAATGACACTTTGCCAGGCTGCCGTGGGCGGAGTGGCTCCCGTGGAAGACTCGTTGCGCACAGGCTGCCCATGCGCTCTGCTTGCGCATGCCGTGCGCCTTTAAGGTGCGAGGCGTTGGTCCTGTGCAGCCACAGCTTCGGGGCTGCAGTGGCGTGGACCTTGGCCATGAGGCTGGCGACTTCTGGCTTCGATATCCGCGCCGTCGTGAGCATGGACTTCCGCAACGTCCGCACCAAGTCGATCGGTGAGGTCCATGAGGTCCCGTGCGTCCCACGGAGCCTCTTGCAGTCCCTTGCGGCAGAGCATGTGCGACTGGCGCTCGTAGACGTGGATTTCGTCGCGCCGCTGGTGCCGCGCGGCCGCTTACACCCCCGGTTCCTCCGCAGAAAGGATGCTGTGGCCCCATGGCAAAGCTCCAGACTCTCCCTGTGCTGGACGCGGCAGCTTGCAGAGACTGACCACTTTGACCTTCCAAGCTCCCACTCCTGGGACGTGCAGCGCTGCCTCCAGCAATGCTGTGCCCGAAGGCGCAGGTGCAAGAAGCGGAGGCCGCGTGTTGAGGGTTCAGGGTTGATAGGGTTATGGCCCACGCATGCCCACGCGCCTCACGTGCCTGCGGGGCCAGGGTTGTGTACATGCTGTAAATTTTGAGTGCTTGAGCGCTCCCGAGGCTTCGTGCAATCCTGTCTAGGCACGTGCCAAAAACATGCAAGCCGACCTGTTTTAAGGAGAAGTCTCCCTCCACTCAGAGCGTTTGTTTACGTTCAACTCACTTCATCTGTTGGACGTCAAGCTTCTGATCTGAGCCCAGTGCTTCGAGCAGGAGCACCCAATATCACCCAAATGCCTGAGATTTATCACCTGCCGGTCTCAATCTGTCTCCGCTAGCTCTGCGCGAGGTTTCGGACCACCAAACGCATTTGCAAGCGCGCTATGTCTGGTTCGCCCCTCCGGCTTGCGGCCAGTCGCCATAGGCAGGCGGGCCACTTCACCGCCACCTCATGAGACATCAGATGGCGGTTCATTGTACTTATCAACCAATTATAACTGCACTTAAAACCCAAATTATATCCATATTAGGGCACTTAAGGGGCTTAGAAGTGGGTTATAAGTACAATTGTAATTGGCCAGTAAGCATCATGAACCTCCACGTAGTGAGGATACGATACGTGGCATGTGCCGCAAGGCCTCTGGCAGTCGCGTCCGTGCCATCGCGAGTGGGGGGAGCTTTCCAAGCTTCCCCACTGCTGCAGGATGGCATCTTTCACGCTGTCGCCACGAAGCCCCAGTTGCGCTGCTAGCAGCAGCAAGCTGATATGGCGGTTCTTGGTGCTACTTTTCGTGATTGCTGTTGGTTGTTGCGAGCGCGACCTCGAATAGCTGAGCCTACCACTCGCCCATGGCCTTGGGAAGTTCTGCCCCTTGTTTTACGTTGCCGAGCCTACCATTATCCTGTCCCTCAGTTGCTGTTGCCACGCCGACTGGTGCCGCGGGGCCCTCGGTCTCTGTGCCAATCATTTCATGTCGGGTCTCACGATTCCATGTTCCGCGGAAGCATCCAGGCTCTGAACGCGTTGCAACCCATCAAGTGGTCTCATTCCCCGCGCGCGGTGGCACACGCTACCTTTCACTACTGTTTGCTTAACAACCCCCCCAAAAAAAAAGACAATATTCTGACTTGCACGGGCAATGTATAGGGATTACTTTTATTGTGATTATTCTGATTATTTTTAATATTTTATGTATATATGCATCTACATATATACATATATATATATATGGTATTTTGGGTTCTTCAGCAAAGTAGCAGTGCAGCTGCAGCTAAGTGCTAGCTGCCAGCTTTCCCTTCCGTTGCTGCTGCTACCTGGAGTTGCCACCTGCTGGTGCGTTTTATGTGCAACTCCCCCCCTCTGACTCACGTGGTCACGGTTTAGGGTTTAAGGTTTAGGGTTCAGGTTTTAGGGCTGCGCTCATGCTTCTCCACACAAGCCTGCCTGTAGCACCCTAGCATGCTCGTTCTTGGCATCTGCAAGGTCCTTGCCAAGCCTTGCCAAGGACCAGAGCATGCCCACATCGCACACTGGGAATGGTAGGAAAGCGCCAGGCAGTGTTGATGTTATGATGTTGCCCATGTAAGATAGACACCACAACTGCCCTTCAAGAGTGGTGCAATGGTCAGGGTACAGAACCTGGGTACATCTGGGGCCTCAGCGACTGACAAGGCTTCCGAACAAGCGTTTGGCTCTGCATCGGCTGGCGAGACTCCAGACAGCTATGGACCAGTGCCCACAAAACTCATCATGGACGTGCTCTTCTTGTTCCAAAGGACCTGTCCTGGCGTGTGGTTCTAGGAAGGTTTCAGAGTACAGGGTTTAGGGTTTGTTGGGCTTGGGGTTCAGGGCTTGGGGTTTGAGATTCGCTGAGTGTTTATTTCGATGGTCTGGTGGCCAAGGCTTCTGGCAAATTGCACTGATAGGCACTAGTCGATGATTTGCGGAGTTCAGCATGCTCATATGTCGGTGCTTACGTGATGATTCAGCAAAGAGAGTGGACTTGGTGCAGAGGGGTCAGGAGCTTGGTCGTTGATGAAGGGGTTTACGAAAATAGGGACAGACTATGAGACCCCCAAATAGTAGGATTCCCCTTACAATAAGGACACCAATAAGGTATTCCCAACCCTAAACCCTAAACCCTAAACCCTAAACCCTCAACCCTCAACCCTAAACCCTAAACCCTAAGGACCCCAATAAGGTACCCCCGAGCATCGTAAACCCCCATGTGTGCTCGTTTGGAGGACGTGCCTGACCTGGGTCTGTGAACCTATCGTCTGCCAATGGAAGCTCCTTCAAGCACGAGCCGCACTTCACACCCACTGCAGCGTGCAATTTGATTGAAAAGGCTTGAAGCGAGAATTCTGATGTGTGAGGAGGTGCAAGTTGACGGGTACAACCGGTACAACGGTTGAGCATGAGATTCCAGTAGGGATGGGAACGGGCAGATTGGAGGGGTTCTCTAAATTCGGGTCCCTTCTTGCATCCCTACAAAAGTACGGCACCCTGGAAACCTCTAAACCCTAAACTCTAAACCCTAAACCCTAAACCCTAAACCCTAAACCCTAAACCCTAAACCCTAAACCCTAAACCCTAAACCCTAAACCCAAAAGGGCTTCAATTTAGAGGCAGAGACAGTCGCGCAGGCGAGATTGTTTGCACCCGGCTGCACTTTGGCGCATTTTGGCACAAGAACGGACTGTAGCCATCCAGGATCCACTCTCAAAACATGAAATTTTGGGTTCAGGGTTGAGGGTTCGGTCTTAGGGTTTAGGGTTTAGGGTTTAGGGTTTAGGGTTTAGGGTTTAGGGTTTAGGGTTTACGGGAAACATCCGCCAATGCTACTCAGTTTGCAGTCGCACCTTCGATTCAACTCCCCCCCCCGTGTCTAGCCAAGAGCTCGAACTTCAATCCCTGAACTTTGCAACCGGCGAACGTCCGCCGGCATGCCGCCTTGCTGTGGAGGCCTTGCGGCGGCTTCTTCCGATGCCACTTTGTAAACCCTAAACCCTAAACCCTAAACCCTAAACCCTAAACCCTAAACCCTACACCCTAAACCCTAAACCCTAAACCCTAAACCCTAAACCCCAAACCCAAACCTTAAACCCTAAACCCTAAACCTTAAACCCTAAACCCTAAAGTAGACATTCAAAAGGTGCTCAAGGTTGCCCATGCGAGATGGCTTTTCCGACAAGACACGTTGAGCCTTGCTCTTCAAACCCTAAACCCTAAACCCTAAACCCTAAACCCTAAACCCTAAACCCTAAACCCTAAACCTTAAAGGCGCTGCAGCTTTCGACTCACATGGGTCATGCTGGGCCCCAAGCCCCAAACCTTAAAGGCGCAGCAGCTTTCGACTCCTACAAGGTGTTTAGGGTTTAGGGTTTAGGGTTTAGGGCTTAGGGTTTAGGGACTTTCCAGAAACCATGGTCTCCTACAAGGTGTTTAGTAGGCGATGACGGCGAGGCAACACGCCTCCATGGCCTCCTCCGAGTTGACGGGCGTGTGCATCAGTGATGAGGGCGCCCTCACAGAGGTCACTTTTCCGTGGCCGCAAGAGATTGACGGGCGAAGCCGCTCGAGCGGACAGCTCGGTGGACTCCCTGCGTGGGTGTTCTTTCCAGAGCGGGCTCATGACTTGCGGAACATGACGATCTCGGAGATTGCTTCAGACGTTGGCAGCCTCACTGATGAAAGACAGGACTACATCATCTTGACCTTGATGAAGGCCAATGAGAAGTTCAGCCGCAATCATCACGCAGAGGATCTGGCAGCAAAGCGCATGGCGGAAATCGGCTTAAAGTTCATCTTTGGGCCTGTGGTGGTCCTTCGGCTTCGGCATCCATCACGTGCCACGCGAGTCCAGGACCCACTGTCAGTGCAAGAAGTTCGGAGATTGCTGGCCATGATTGTGATCGACGCAGTGGCGCCTGGGATGTCCGTCAAGGAAGTCATCGCCTTGGCGCATGAGCAGGTCGAGGGTGCGTGCGCCTGTTTGAGATTCAAAGGTGGACGGGTCACTGCCGAGCGAGCGTCCGAGGGACCCGCAGCCATCCCGATCAGTCGGCCCTGCCGTGACTTCCCGAACTGCAAGAAAGGCCGGCTGTGCCACTTTGCACATGCTGAACCCGATGTGCGTCAGCTCGGCCAGGAGACCCACCCACTTCGGAAGTCCAAGTTATGCATGAATTTCATCAAGAACGGCTCTTGTGAGTACGGCACGTACTGCAATTTCGCACATGGACATCAGGAGCTAGTACCCGTCGCCCCTTCTGAGTCCCTAGAGCTGCAGTTCGAGGTTCGAGCAGCAAGTGGCCGTACACAGGATTGCAAGGCTGCTGCTTGGATGACTCTTGGTGCTGTGGAGCAGCTCAGCAGTGACCATCTGCAGCTCGCTTACAGTGATGGTGTGAGCGTCCTGGACAAAGCCACGAAGATGATCGAGATGGACGCCTTGAAGCTGGCCGAGGGCATCACAGCCATTCAAAATCAAAAGAACGCAGTCAAGTACAACAGTCTGCCCTGCCGTGACTACCCGAATTGCAAGAAAGGCCGGCTGTGCCACTTTGCCCATGCTGAACCTGACTTGCATCAGCGCCAGGAGACCCACCCACGTTTGAAGTCTAAGCTATGCAGGAACATCATGGAGGACGGCGTGTGTAAGTTCGGCGCGAACTGCATGTTCGCACATGGAGATCATGAGCTCCAAAAAAGACCCTGCAAATATGGCAAGGACTGCGATCGCCCAGATTGCTTTTTCGAGCACCCCGAAGGCTGGCAAAAGCAACAAGTACCTGTCCTGGGATCTGCATGCGATGCTGCAGCTGCTGTGGCAGAGGAAGTTCCAGGTAAAGAAGGCCAGCTGGACAAAGCTATGGGAGGCACTGTCGAGAGGATTCGGCAAGAGGAGGAGCAGGCCCCGGCAGCGGCAGAAGCCGCAAAGCAAGCGGGCTTTCCATCAGCACCGGGGACACTGGGTTCGTTCGTGCACAAAGTCGTAGAGGGCCTGGTGGTGATGTTGGGTGCCGGTGATGTGGCGCAGCTCCGAGGGGGCGTAGTAATGGTTGTGACCAAACGGGTTTACGAGATGCACAAGCCACGTTTTGAGCCGGTGGGTCGAGAGCCCTGCCCTCCGCTGCCAGGCGCGGCTGTTGCTCTGAGTCCGATCTTGGATCTCAGCCCACATGAAGTGCCTTTCGATGATCCGGTTCTGCTCATTGTGCCTGTTTGCACGGGTGCCGACGCAGCCTGGCGATCGCTGCCACAAGGCGGCTGGGAGGAGCTGGTGTGCCTGCAGTTCTGCCCCGGCTTTGCCATCCTGCGCCTGGACCACTTCTGCCAAGTGGTTGTAGGGAGCAGTGGGCGCGTTCGAGCGCCCATCAGCGTCCGGGGCTTCATCAACAGGCATCGTGAGCCGCCGGTGGCAAGATGGGCAATCTTGCAGGATGGTTGTGACACGTGCCTCGACATGATGCGCCAATCTCGCAGGGGAATATTGAAGGACTTCGAGGAATGCATCCAGGTTCATGTGCCAGGTTCATACGACAACTTACATCCTCTTCCTGTATCTGAGGGACTTCACCCAGAAGAGCATGACGAAGTGTGCCTGCGATTCACGCACTTTCCCAGACACTCTAGCACCGAGTGGAAAGTGCAGGGACCTACCTTTAGCGAGTTCACGATTTACGTCGATGGCATTCCGTACACCTTCTGCTTACCTGATGCCCCTGCCATCCCGCCACCAGCCGATGCAGACCAGCAGATGTTCCTTGTACCCCAAGAAGGAAGCACCATCCAGGTGTCTGCAGCCAATGGCAGTTCCGACGTCTACATGGAGGGAGGCCTGCTGGACTCTTCGGCGATTGTGCGGGCATCAGACCTCCAAGACACAGCCGCCTCCTTGGGCAGTGTCGAGTTCAGCACAGCCTCCACATCCTACCTTGCGCCGAACCTTCCGGCCCCGCCAATGCCAGATCTGCCCGAGGGATTACCGGAGCGACCGCCTCCACCCCCGCCGGCGCGGCTACCGGTGCCGCCCAATTGGAAGAGGGATGTGCGAAAGGAGAAGTGGTATGTCCCGTACCGCATGAAAGTCTTTACGCTGATTCAAAACCGCATGGAAGGCGGTGCTGCAGAAGTTACGCTGGTTGGAATTGAGCCGTGCAAAGAGAATGTTTGTACCTGCCTGGAGTATCCAGCACTCTTGCAGGACTTGTTCGCAGCGTTCCACGAAAGACGCCCGCCTTTCTACCTCAACTGGGAAACCGAGGTCATCGCTTGGAACAAGATTCACAAGCAGTATGCCAGTCAAAATCCGACCACCCTGCAAGAGCAGCTACAGGACTTCTCCAGAAGAGGCAACGACGTGATCATCGTGTCAGCTCCTGAAGATCAGTTCAGCACTGCGCGGGAGGCCATCAACGCGCACAACCAGCGAGATCTTCCTGGCCACGGGAAGGCGTGGGAAGGCTGGGCAACAGCGGATGACATGCTCAACCCCGACCCCCTCCGCCAGCAGTGAGCTAGCAATGAGACCGCCGTGGCCACTTGTACAGCCTTGTTGTGCACGGCTAAGAGCAGCTTCGAAGTCAGTAGGGCCAAAGGACTTTTGCAAGCGCCGGCGAGCAACACAAAAGTCGGCAGCCAGCATAGGGCACAGGAGTGAAGCCTTTTCCAATCCAGCAGGCATCGCTGGCAGGGCAATGCTGTCTCTTGCTGTACCCCACGTGCCTATGACACTATGATCCTCTATGCCCGCTCGCTTGAGGGCCTCCACTGTCCAGGTCTGACGTTGCCAGGCGCTTCGGATGGACCCTCACTGCTGAGCTACCAGATCGGATTTGCTTGAGAGAACGACCTTCCCTAGTGGAGGCAAAGTCTGTTCGCTTGCATCGCCTTTGTTCTGTACAGCAGATGTTGTTCAGCTGTGGCATCCGTCGCCTGCCAAAGCATGCAACAGCGCCGCACGTGAGTTCATGTTCGACGTGATGGAGAGCACATTCCTGCAAAATCCTGCAAATGATGGTGTTTCCCCTCTAGTTTTCTCAGCTTGCTTGAACTGGCTTGACAAAGAGCGTTGTGCATCATGTGTGAACACCCAGGTGTAAGTTGATCGGCAACAGATGTTGAGCATGAGGTTCCAGTAGCGCTACTACCCAGGCACACCGTTGCTGCAACAGGTGTCAGCATTGCAGCACAGTTTGGCAAGAATGGACCGCAGCCATCCATGATCCACTCTCAAACAAGAATACAAGAACTTTGGGTTTAGGGTTTAGGGTTTAGGGTTTAGGGTTTAGCTTTTGAGCATCCACCAACGCTGTTCAGTTTGCAGTCGTAGCCCCCACCCTAGCCAACAACTCCAAGTCCAATCCCTGAACCTTATAACTGTCGAATGGCCGCTGGCACGCCGCCTTGCAGTGGAGGGTCTGGGGGGCAGCTTCTTTAGATGCCACTTGCAACCCCTAAACCCTAAACCCTAAACCCTAAACCCTAAACCCTAAACCCTAAACCCTAAACCCTAAACCCTAAACCCTAAACCCTAAACCCTAAACCCTAAACCCTAAACCCTAAACCCTAAACCCTAAACCCTAAACCCTAAACCCTAACCCTAAACCCTAAACCCTAAACCCTAAACCCTAAACCCTAAACCCTAAACCCTAAACCCTAAACCCTAAACCCTAAACCCTAAACCCTAAACCCTAAACCCTAAACCCTAAACCCTAAACCCTAAACCCTAAACCCTAAACCCCCAAGTAGACATTGTGCTCCAGGTTGCACATGCGAGATGGCTTTTCCGACAAAGCATGTTGAGCTTGGTTTGGAAGCCTACCTGCGAACGAAATCCCTGCACATTGGTACCCGGGTTTCATTTTCATGCGCAGGACACGGTGGCCGTTACGGGTTGGGATGTTCCCTCGTATACTAACAGTCCTTAACAGGTAATTATCCCGATTAAGGACTGTTAGTATAAGGGGGAGCATCCCAAGTTACGGGGCATGCAACCCGCGGTGGGTTGACCAATGCTCGGAACTCGCCTCGATCAATAAGGCACACCCTTGAACCAAACCCTCAACCCTACACCCTAAACCCCAAACCCTAAACCCTAAACCCGAACCCTAAACCCTAAACCCTAAACCCTAAACCCTAAACCCTAAACACTAAACACTAAGCCCTAAACCCTAAACCCTAAACCCTAGCCCTAAACCCTAAACCCTAAGTCACAGCTGTCGAACTCTCCCCGCCAGGATGAGCCCGGCGCCCTGCGCACCAAAGCATCCGACCACTCCCGGGAGTGCTTAGCGCTGTGATGGAGGTGGGGTTCAGGGTTTAGGGTTTGGGGTTTAGGGTTTAGGGCTAGGGTTTAGGGCTTAGAGTTTGGGGTTTGGGGTTTAGGGTTTAGGGTTTAGGATGGAGGGATGAGTTAGGGTGGAAGGTGCAGGGGGGCAGTGCGTCTGAAAGCAGCTGTGCACATTGCGATCTGAAGGTCTCCAAATCCTTGTTCCCTAAACCCTGAACCCTAAACCCTAAACCCTAAACCCTAAGCTCGGCTTTCGGGTTTTGGGATGGTTTGTACGGGGATTTAGGGGGTTATATTGGTTCCTTAGGGGTCTAAACCCTACACCTTAAGGACTTTGGGTCACCCTTTTTTTTGGGGAGGGGGCCCTGCGCTGCCGGAGGTTCCAGTGGCACAGGTGAAGACCAGTCGGAACGCCTCGGCGACCATGGCATTCCAGAAGTACCGCCTGCGCCTGAGGTGTAGGGTTTCGGGTTCCAAGCCCCCAGGCCAGAACACTACACCCCCCAATCACAGTCGAACTCACAATTCATAAAATCCCCCCCCCTCTCCACCGCACCCCACCCCGCCAACCCACCCCATTGCCCCCTTAAACCTGCGCCCTAAACCGTAGACTCGGCCCTGAATCTTACCAACCCGTTGGTATTGCAACCATCAGGCCAAGAGGCGGAGCAGAACGATGAAGATGTGCGGCACCCAGGATGTGGGTTTCAACCGCCAAGCCCTTCAAAAACGGGTTTACAGGGGTTTAGGGTTTTAGGTTTGGGGTTTTGGGTTTAGAGTTAGGGAGTAAAAACTCCAGGGGGAGCAGACGAATCTTGAAGGGAAGCTGGGAGTGTTGTGCTAAGTGGACATCGCTATAATCGCGGCTGTGTCGTGGAGCCGTGGGGGCTTTGGGTCCGGCAGGGTTTAAGGATTTGGGGTTTAGTGGTTAAGGGTTTAGGGTTTAGGGTTTAGGGTTAAGGGTTTAGGGTTCAGGGTTATACCCCTGGCAAGAGAACAGGCTTGCGGTCTCATTGAGTTGTTGACCTATTGGACACATTGAATCAGTTGCTGAAGGCAGAAACTGTTTCAGCGAAAGCGTATCGAAGCTTTGAATTCTAGTTCAGGAGGATATGCTGAGAGTTTCGGGTTGAGGGTTTATGGTAGATGCACTGATCCGTAGCATGTGTCCATCGCCTATGCACCTGAAGACAGATACGGGAACATGATGGCGGTGGGAATGGAAAACAGTCCCCCGTTGGGCGCATGGGAATCTACGTCTGCTCTTAAACGCTGCACACGTGGCCATAAACCCTAAACGCTAACCCCGAAACCCTGAACCCTGAACCCTAGACCCGAAACCCTAATCCCTAAACCCTAAACCCTAAACCCTAAACCCTAAACCCTGAACCCTAGCGTCTTCTGTGTTCCAAGGCCGACTCTCGAGCAAACTTCGTCAAGATCAACATCGAGGTTGTGGAGACCAGGTGGCGGAGTCGCACGCTTAGGGTTTAGGGTTTAGGGTTTAGGGTTTAGGGTTTAGGGTTTAGGGTTTAGGGTTTAGGGTTTAGGGTTTAGGGTTTAGGGTTTAGGGTTTAGGGTTTTGGGGGGCAGAGTTTAAGCTGCATCCGGTCTGGATTGCGAATCGGCCCCCTGAATCCTGCCCCTAAACCCTGAACCCTAAACCCTAAACCCCAAACCCTAAACCTAGCCCTGAAGCCTAAACCGAGCGTCGGCCACGGCAGTGCAGAGGTAGGGGCGCCCCAAAGAGCCCCCAGGAGCCCCAGTTGAAGCTCCCAAAAGCCCAAACCCTAAACCCTAAACCCTAAACCCTAAACCCTAAACCCTAAACCCTAAACCCTAGACCCTAAGCCCTTAAACCCCCAAGCCCTTAAAGCCCCAAAACCCGAAACCCTTCGACTTGTCCTTGGGCCCTCAAGCCCCAAAGCCTGAACCCTCAAGCCTCAACAGCCCTACCCCCCAAAAACCCCAAAACCCGTAAAAGCCCCACGAAATATTCGGTCCAAAGCCCTGAGAAGCCCCAAACACCCTCAACCCTAAACCCTAAACCCTAAACCCTAAACCCTAAACCCTAAACCCTAAACCCTAAACCCTAACCCCCCCTACATGCCAGGTTCCGGGCCAAACTCCACCTTGAGGTGGCCAAAGCCTTCGGGGTGTGCAGGACTCAGCGAACTGTTTTATCGGGTTTCTTCGGGATTGTGGATTTAGGGTTGAGGGTTTAGGGCTTCGGGCTCAGCGGGCTGGTTTCTAGGGTTTTTAGGCTTTTGTTAGGGGTTTGTAGGGCCGTTTTTAGTGTTTGTATTTCTGTGTTTGGGGAGGTTTAGGGTGTTAAGGGGATAGGGTTGCAGCTTTTGGAGTAGGGCTGCGGGCCTTCGTAGGGTTTTCGATGTGTATATATATATAGATATACATATATATATACATATATCTGTAGTTTTGGTTTTTTGAGTGTTGCTTTTGATGTTTAAGGTTTTGGGTTGTGAGGTAAAGGGTTCGAGGTTTTAGGGTTCAGGGGTTGAGGGGTTTGCGGGTCTTAAGGGGTTTCGGGTTTTGGGTTTAAGGGGTTGATTTGGGGTGTTTTTTGGGCTTTTGGCTGCTGTTTTTGGCGAACACTAAAGCCTAGTTAAACCTTGGAGCCTAAAATCTAAATCTCAGTTTTAAGCCCCAGAGCCAACAACCCCCAAACCTGAACCATAGAACCGTAAAACCTAAAACCTAAAACCCTCGAGCCCTTAAGTTAATTGGCACCCCCTCTTGCTTCCGATGAGGTTTAGCCCTAGCCTTTCGCTTCAAAAACCTAACCCTGAACCCTAAACCCCAAAACCCTAAACCCTAAACCCCAAAACCCTAAGCCCTAAACCCCAAAATCCTAAACACCAAACCCTAAACCCTAAACTCTCGACTATAGGGCTTTAGGGGTTTAGGGTTACGTCCGCTCCAAAGGTTTGGCCCAGCGCGTGAGAGCAGACCGGAAGCTATCAACGACGGGGCTCCTTGAGCTGTGTTTGGAGGGTTCAGCGGCCGAAGCGCCTAAACCCTAAACCCTCACACTTAAACCGTAAACCCTTAACTCTGATCCTCGGAAGGGAAGTGCTATGTCCCACGTCAGCCCCAAAAAAGAACTGCACCCTAAACCCTAAACCCAAATCCTCTGAGTTGCGAGGTTAGCTTGGGGGGTGCAGGAGCTTGGGATTGCACTGGACATGGCTTCTCTCTCTTTT